CGTAAATCCAAAAATTATTATTTTTAACTTGTACATTCTTCTAAAAACGACATAAATTAATGAAAGAGCGTTGCTCCCTGATAAAGGCTTATTAGCTTAAAAGGGCGCTACGGTCACAATATAATATAATGTACCCATTGTTTTGAAATAAATATTTATTATTGGGGGGGGCATCAATATAGTTTTCGCATCTGGTTGGGTTTTATAAATATATAATTATAAATGGAAATGAAAAGATAAATATACATAAATATCAATAAAATTAAATAAATATAAAAATACATAAAGAAATAAAAGCCCAACCAGATGGAGGCCATCGGCAGGGGAGACCAAGGATTAGACCGTTTGCAGAGACGACTACTGGAATAATTTCGGCCGGCATACCACCCCACATGTCGGTCACTTCGTGAGCCAGGTCCAGATATTTTGTTCGTTTATCTGTTTCGGCTTTCACGAGGTTCTCGTCATACGGAATAGTAATATCGACCAAAAATATCCTTGACTGCCCGGTCCATTAGCACAATATCAGGCTTATTCGCCAGAGTAGTCCTGTCCGTGATGATGGCCCGGTCCCAGTAGAGCCTGGCGCGGTCATTTTCGAGCACGGCTTCCGACAAGGACTTGTAATACGGCAATTTCCGGTCCATGAGACCGTATTTCAGAGCGAGCTCCTGGTGTAGAATTGTGGCTACTAGGTTGTGCCTGTGCAAGTACTCAGAGTTAGAAAGCGCCGAAAAACCGGAGATAACATGCCTAAGTGACTCCCCGGGATGGCGACAAGCTCGAAAGACGTCGATAGTGCCATCCTTTAGGATGTATCTCCGATAGTTGTTGGTCTTAATAACCTGATCCTGTATTGCAGAGACAAAACCCTTGGTCTCCCCGAAGAGGTCACCAAAACGTAGCCGGTTGAGGGAGGCGGCTGTATCTACGTGGGACTCATGTAGAGACCTGTGGTACCTCCCGTGGAGCTCCTTCTCCTTCCATAAGGTCTCCCGGTCGGAAATGCTCTGTACTGCCGGGTCCTGCCATTGCTCGTAGGCTAAGGATAGAGGGGTAAGTCCTTTATCACTAGAAATGACGTCATTATAGAATGGATCATCCGATTTCGCCAGGAAGTAATGACGGAGGCTGCACACTTCGCGATTATGCATAGTGAGCGCGCTCAAGAAGCCACGCCACAGCCTCATTACTGACGATCTCGGATGATGCATCCTATGGGACGTCATTGTAGTGCGGACTTTTCTATCCAGGGCCTTTAGTTCAGTCTGAGTCCACCTGAGAATGCTAAAGGTATATATGAGGACAGGCATGACCCAGCCGTTATCCTTTCAGCTGCGGAGACTCTAACCGTAATACTCCGTTGACTGCGGAGCTGTTTAATAAAATGGACGGCTGATTGGGCCCAATCAGTTTAAACGCAAATATCTTGATTTTGGTATATCGAATACTATAATATGTATACATTTCTGAATTTTCTATGAAATTTCCTATAAACTAGTACATATATTTAATAAAGTTTTAAAGTAATTAGTATAACTAAATATTGAATAAAATGAAAACTATCATATTTCTCAATGACACAAAGTTTTTTAATAGTTCAATTTTATTTTATTTTAATCTTACATCTATTGTTTACAATATTTTATGTGCAAAATCATAGGCTACAATACAATTTTTTATCATAAAACGCATTAATAATAAGCTTACAAGAACCCACAATCAACTTACACCGATGTAGAATGTAGTTCGGACCAGATGCGGCATAATGCGGCGTAATGCTTTAGTCAATAAAAATAGTTTTTTTTTATTTCATTATAATGATTCAGTCTTGAACCTCTCTTTTTCTTTACATGATTCAGTCATCTTTCAATAGATCTTGCTAAGTTTTAGAAAATTACTCTTAATACCAATATCAAAATTTTAGTCGTAAGTGCCATATTTATTGAAAAATTAATTACTTTATTTGAGCAAACAAACTTTAACAGCACTTGTACAGAAATAAAGATTCGTTCATTCCTTTAAAAACCATAAAACCACTCAAGGGTCACTCCCGCTGATGTAGAGTTATAAATAACGTTTTTTGTAAACAATACCCAATGCACCATAATATGTGTCGAGTGACAGAGGCGCCGCGAGGTGCTCAGCGGTTATGTTACATTTCCAATAACCAACAACATTATTTCTCCAAAAGTTAACATATTTTCTTTAACACAAATAATAGCTACAAAATAATAAAATTTAAAATAAATATATCTCTTCCTGAAATAAAAAAAATATTAATTATGTATATTTTTAAAGAACCCACTTCTTATGCATTATACAAAAATATGCCACAATTAAAGTCCGATTCTGCACTTTTTTGTGCATCATGTACTAGTCCATTAAAACATTTTTTATACGTGGTAAAGCCATGCTGCAGTTATATTAGTAGTATAGTTGTAGAACAAATAGGCCGGCTCGACCGGAGAAGGACCACGCTCTCACCGAATACCAGCGTGAAATAATAACTTAATCCTTCTGTGTTTCGTATGGTGAGTGTAGAGAACCGAAGAGCCTTTTTACTGGAAACGAGGTGTTCCATCTTAGTCGTTACGGGTGACATGCATCTGCATTTTGATTTGTAATCGAGGATAGATGTAGATATCTATGGGCCACAGCAACCACCACAGGTGGACTGCGTGCTCTTTTGTCACCCTATCCTATAGGTGTATTCATTTCAAAGATGAGAGCCGTGGTGGCTCAGAAGAGCCGTGGTAGCTCAGATGGTTAGCTCTCGCTGTAAATTTCACAGTACGCTAGCAAGCCGGGTTTGATCCCCGCTAGCAATAATGAAATTGTTAATTGCAATTTTAAGTGCTGATCTACCACGTGATCGGCGGTGAAGAAAGACATTGTGAGGAAACCTGCACGTCTGTGAAATAAGAAAAAAATATTTCGAAGACATGTGAAGTTCACCAACACGCATTGGGGCAGCGCGGCGGAAACTTCTTTGGCCTAAAACCCTCTGAGAAATAAGGGGATGCCTTTGCCCAGCTGTGGGGCGTAAAAAGACTGTAACTTAACTAACTTAAGTATTCATTTCGACGATGAGAGAGCCCTGGTAGCTCAGATTGTTAGCTCTCGCGTTAAATTTCACAGTACGCTAGCACACCGGGTTCGATCCCCGCCGGCATCAATGAAATTATTAATTGCAATTTTAAGTGCTGATTTACCTCTTGCTCGGCGGTGAAGGAAAACATCATGAAGAAGTCTGACTGTCTGAGAAATAAAAAAAAATTCCGGGGCATGTGCAGTTTGCAAACACTCATATAGGCAGCGCGACGGACACTTCTTTGCCCTAAAACCTTTTCAGAAGTGAGAGAAGACACAGCAGTGGGACGGAAATAGGCTGTGTAACTTAACTAACTTAACAATTTCGACGATGATAGTCTGAAATAATTAGCTGAACAAATTATAGACATAAGTATAAAATTGAATAAATATGTAACATAGGTACTCATTTCTTTAAAAGGCTCCTGGTACTTCTTGGATTTACTGTATCTACAGTACAATTCATTTACGAATGGTACTGTAGGTAGCAGCAATCTTGCTCTAGGTTGATACATAACGCAACGTTACACGATTTGCGAAGTACATACAGATAAAATGTACACTAAAAAAAAAAACAAAATTAGAAATATGTGTCTGAGGTGACCTTAAAAATCACTCAACATATTAAATTAAAAAAATAAATATTTCAAATATTAAATAATATAAAAAAAATATTAAAATAAAAATATTAAAAAGCATATTATATAAATACTTTCTAATTTTCTGATTTAATAAATTGTTTAAAAAATTCCGAAGTCTTGTGTTAACATACATGACATATCCAAATGCCACATTGAATTTTTCATAAATCATCGAATAATCGTGGAGTCAACCAAGCTCCATTTCTCTGCTCGAGGGCGCTAGATTCTTTACCATTCTAACCATTCAACCGAATATGAACTTGATGCAGTATGGCAAACTTTAGTTCCTTTTTTCGCCACCCGCAAAACAGAGAACTAGAATTCACTACTACTACCTATTGCGTATTTACATTAAAATTTTGAAAATATTGCACTTTATCCTCATTTTAATGTACTAAAACTGTGAACAATAAACAATTACACATATTTTAACACAAATATCGACTCCATAACAAGTTGTAGAAATTACTTTATCAATTATAATATCCTGACATTAACATCCCTATATATATCCGAAATATGCTCACTAGTTAGAAATAATATCGACTGGTTCCCTCAATATTTTCGCCCTAAAAATTTAAGACCAAAAATAAAATTATCCACAGTTACATCAAAATTACAAATCGTAAACACCGGTCCCTATGCCATGTGAATAAAAATATATATAACAAAATCCCAGAACAAATTAGAAGCATTCATTTTGGGCAGCCAGAAATGCCATCGATTTTTCATAAATTGGTTTCCTTGAGCAGTCAGCATTGTCGAAATCATAGTTTTGATTTCTTCTTTGAAGTCACTAAATTCACAGTCCAGGTCGTGACTGTATTTTCTTTTCACGCGCCGGCTTACGAAATTCGGTGAATTAATCTCGTCCGTAATTCCAGGAATGTTGGTTTCAGAGAGTGATTTGTTCATCGCGTGCTCCATTTTACTATTAGACGGGCAATTATTCACTCGTAGATGCACTTAAAAACCAGTCTCGTAAGTGATGACGACAAAAACAAAGGCCCGTCGTAGCAGTTAGTCGAAGTTTCGTAGCGCGTAGCAGGGGGCGGAGCTTGTAGCGACCACTGTAGCACTGGTGCAGATGTTTACGATGCAATAGTGGAGCGAGATAAAAAATAATAGTCTGTTTTGTTCTCGCAGGTGTGATTAAGGTCCCTCCGCTCGCTGATGCTTGCCGTGACCGAGTGATGCGCTTATTTAATTTCTTGTTTATAGGAATTTCGTATTTATGCACATAGATTTACTAGCTTGTTTAGCGTATTACTTAAGTACAATTTTTAGAGCGACGCGACACACGTCCGCTCGCGTTGCGTTCTCGGACGAAAAAGGACTGAACAAAATAGATGTTAGTGTCTTGTATATGGTCGGTAGACACGTGATGGGGCGGTATTTGCTCGAGTCTGTGGTACCCTGGTCTTTAGGAACCGAATGGGTGATCCTAGTAGTAAAGAGGCTGGGGAGCGACTTCTGGTTGAGAGCCTCTTGAAACTGTCGGGCGAGCACAGTGAGACACACCACGAACCCCTTCAGCCAGTAGTGATGCAGCCCGTCGAGTCCCGGACTTTTCCAGTTCGGGGCCCTACGGACCGCCTCAGCTACATCATCCGGTGTTATAATGACGGGGTCCATGGGCGTTATACCCTCACACTGACTCGCCATAACTTCCGTCCAAGGGCCCTCGCTGTGGTTTACGGGCTCTGACCACAGGCCACGCCAGAATGCTACATTGTCGGCCTGATTCGGTGCAGGGCCCGTTCCACTTATTATTGGTTGCTCCAATGATTCATAGAGCCTCTTCTGATCACTCTGGAAGAGATGATTCTGGTTGAACCGTGTCGACCTTTTGGTATATCGCCGAATCCGCTTTCCCCAAGCAGCGCTTCTCTGCTTCAGATCATCTATGCGCTCCGTCAGTTTTTGCGTTATATCCGGCTGGGACAAGCTGAAATTTGTCCCAGCAAACGCCATCCTGACGGTGCGCACAATTCTTGGCCTGTTATTGCCTGATCTAAAGCATATCAGTCTGCCGATGCGAGCTCTAGCCTTTGCGATACGTTCCTCAATTCTTCTTCTCCATGCTGGGATATCGCTACTTTGGCCAGTAGCGCGTCCAGCCGTGGAAACCTTGGCGCCTATGATACGGCAGACTGCCAGCGCGGCTCCAAAAAGAATTGAGTCCGTCTCGCAAAGATCCCGGCTGGCTTCCAAATAGGTCACCAGCATTGGGTTCAGAGCCCTCACGACAGCCCGATTCCGCCTGCTTAGGGCTATGCGGGAAAGTCTCGGTCAATTTTCGAGAGGCGTGCTGCGCGTTTCCACAATAGCCTCTTCCAATGTACTCCTCATATGCTCTAATTCCAGTTCCTGGGCGACTGTTCCATCATCGTTTGAATCAACCACAACTGGGGTATTCACGGAGACATTCACGTTTGAAGGTTGCTTTACAATTTGTGGCGCCGCATCCTCAGCCGTAGCATTTTCATCCGATGAGGGAACAGCCTCACGTCGTAGCCGTTCGAGTTCGGCCACATGAAATATATTTGAGCGCAAGATATACCGAATTCGGTCTCCCAGGTTTTGCTCTGTGACGGTTAAAGATGGCTCCAGCTCAGCAAAAAGACGATGCGTCCTAGCCCGATACGCCAAACATCCAGTTTCTTCCCCTTTTGCCCTAAAGTACGCCCGCTGTGCGTTTGCGTTCATTGTTTGTGACCAACGCATGCGACGTGCTCCACCAGCGGCATGTGCCGCTTGCTGAGTCCGAGAAGACCCAGCCAACACCAAACCTTCTGGTGGGGATGATGGATGTGGAGGGCTGCTATGTGATGAAAATATTAAAGCTGAAAAAATAACAAACTGATTTATAAGTCTCATTAAAGGTTAAAAAAGTAAAGTAACGTCTCACGGCTGTGCACAGAGATCCTCGTTACCTACGAGTATAGTGTAACGGTTTTCACTTTTCCCAGACTTTTTGAACTTCTCAGACATCTAGATCTCCTCACTAAGTTATTCTCCACTACTTCACCAAACACGTGGTAAATCAGCACGTAAAATTTCCTATAACAGTTTAATTTGTCCTCGTGGGAATCTTACACGTTTTGCTCTCATGCTATTATGAAATCTCACGTGAGATAATTCATAAAATCTGGGTTGAAGCTTTTGCACGATTGTAGACCGCATCTACCTAGTAATTAGACAGCAAACGATGCCACAAATTATTCCATCAAATAGAGCACTTAATTTACACTTAATTTTCATGTTGCTCAATAAGTATTTAGTAGAATTCTATTATATAATTTTATCAGTGACTTATCATTATTTTATTTAGCAGTAAGTAAATTTCCCTAGTATTATATGAAATAATGAAAGCCAAATCTACACGATCTAGTAATATCAGCGATAGAATGTTGGGGTGCGACCCCAGATATGAATCACGACTAGCTGTTACCCGCGGCTTCGCCCGCATGGTCACTGGGAAATGAACTATCCATTGCTTTGTGAATTGAAAGAAAACTGAGTTTTATAGATTTGTCAGAGATGCAGCCATTAAAAGGAAACTGAGCAAAATTGATTCGTCAGCCTATTTAAATGTTTTGAAACGCAGCGTATAGGAAAGCATAAAAATAGCCTGTTTATTCCAAATGGAAATGGGATATTTTTTTAGTTAAAGGAAACTGAGCATAATTATCCGTCAGGGATGCAGACTTTTGAAGAGAAACTGAGCTAAATTGATTCGTCAGAGATGCAGTTTTCTGAATTGAAAGGAAACTGAGCCAAATAAAAGATCCGTCAGAGATGCAGCCTTTTGAGTTGAAAGGAAACTGAGCTTAATAGGACCGTCAGAGGTGCAGCATTTGGAATTGAAAAGAAACTGAGCTAAATAGGAAATTTTGAATTGAAAGGGAAGATCTGTGGGAATTCTGATTAATTGATTGTGGGAATTTTGGAAAAAAAAACTAACTGAACACTCTTTGTTACTTGTTGTACCTGTAAGCTCCGGAGGTCGCGACATGTTATACTCCCGTTCGCTCGGGACCTTAATGGCGGAAAAATTTGCAAGTTAGCAAATTTTGCAATATTTTCACTTCGAGACAATATTTATGAATAAAACTTACAGCAATTCTTGTTGAATGTATAAACTATCGAATAAAAATATTTCAGGTTGCTAGAAATTGTAATAAAATTCATAAATTACCCTTTATAGCATAGTAGTAGTATATAATTCACTTTTAGTGCCAAAATTACTACTAATTTGAATTCTACACTTTTGTTTTTGGAGAAATTTTAGATATGAAAATGTTTGGAAATATGTATATTTTTATTTTTTATGTGTTTCTATTCGTTACTCATACCAAAATATTAAAAAAAATAATATATATCTGTATGATATTTCGAACAATATTTCAAAAATATTTTTGTGTGAATTTGAAATAAATACAACGTCAAGTTATTTTAAATATGTTAGAAAACAATTTTTTACTTACATTTTACACTAAAAATAAATGAGTATTGGAAAAATAACACATTTTTGACCCCACCACCAAAATGGGCCTTCCGGATTTCGAAGTACTTTTGGCACTTACTTTTCACTTTTTATACCACAAATTATATATGTACGTGTTTACTATGTTACAAGGAATATAAAAAAAGTGTAATAATTTCGTTTTTAGTCCAGACACAAATATAAAATTCTATAAAAAAGACGGAGCACCTTCATCAATGTGACACGTGAAACGCCGAAAGTTCAGAGTGATTTCTTTTTTTTTTTTAAGAAACATTGCCAGGTTATGGTTTAAAATAAAAGAGCATATCTTTGTCTTTGATACTATTATCTATTGCATATAGTCTTTGGTTTTGTTTAAAACGAAAAAATAATTTTTTCATAGGGCAGTATTTGATATCGAATTCGATATCTTCCCGAGCCGACGTAAGGTAGGTCTGTCATATCGAATTCGAGCATTTACATGAGCTAACAGCTGTGGGAATTATAGGGATCCGTGGTATAATAACATTTTCACCACTTTCACTGTGCACTGTCAAAATTGTAGCACCGATTATGTTCCGTCCAAGATAAGTCACACGCAGCCTTGTCCCGTTACATAACCGAGGAGCATCTAAATTTCGCATTAGCATGACTGGGACGCCTAATTTTAATTGAAGCTTATGTGAGGGCACACCTGACAACTCTACAGAATTTAGAAACTCTACGGGATATGAAGTGCTCTGTTCTGTGTCCATAACTTTGTCTACTGACAAATACTCTGTAATTTTGCTGCTACTTCGCTTAATATATCTGAATTTATTTTGTTAACGCTCTCATTTTTTGGTGTAAGAATCGCCCTTTCACATAACCATTATTTGTCTTCATGCATGTTGTTCGTTAAATCTGAATAAACGCTCGCAATTAATTCGGAATGATTCTGTACCAAATTACAAAAATCTCTTTTATGTGAATCTTTTAATAGTGTGTCAGCATAGTTTCCAGCATTGATATAATTATACAAATGCACTCTCATATTCATGGTTAAACTGAATTTTGTCACCTTGTTACATAAAATAGACGACTTGAGGCATGCTTTAATTTCATCTGCAGGTGTGCCCTTCTGAATGACAGGCAAAGTTTGGCGAAAGTCACCCGCCAGTAAAACCTCCTCCCATTACATCAGTATTGCTTCGCAAATCCTGGAGCGTTCGATTTAGTGCTTCTACAGCTTTTTTATGCCACATTGTATTTTCGTCCCACACTAAAAGTTTGCATTGTCGTGGCATTATACCTCGTGCACTATTTTTGCTAAAGTTGTAGATCGGTGATTTTTCCTGGGCTAGATTTAGAGGGAGTTTTAAAACAGAATGTGCAGTGCGGCCCCCGCTTAGCAGCGTGGTGGCTATGCTGGAGGAAGCTACGGCCACAGCAATGTTTTTATCTTTCCGTACTTGCGCTAATAATAAATTTAATAAAAATGTCTTCCCAGTTCCTCCAGGGGCATCTAAAAAGAAAAGTGCACCATTTCCAGATTCAATTTGTCCTAATACTTTGTCAAAAACTCGTTTTTGTTTGGGAAGCAAGCGGGGTACAAATTCGGCTACTTGCTGCTGCAAAGTTGGTATATCGTAGTTTGTTTCACGTATAATTTCATCACTTAGTTCATTTTCGGTTGTTTGCGGAGGGCTTATCATTCCAAAGTCGCCTAATTTTTTTGCCTACCATTGCCATTACTTTATCTTCAATTTTTCCAAGTGCTTCATTATAAATGTGTTCATTGTATGTCATGTTCGCGTGTGTCTGCTGTAACCTTCGCAAAATATCTTCCGCCATGTCCTCTTTATATTTGTCCCATAATTCTTGTGTATTGGATAGCCCGCAAGGTGACTGGCACTGCACAGCTTTCTCCATGGTTTCATCCCAGTGATTATCGTTTTCTAAAAGATGCAGAGCTTCACATGATTCTCTATAAGTTGCGCATTCCTGACCGTTGACAGTTTTAAGGTCTTTATATCCTGTAGGCACCAAACATGGTGCAGCAGTAATCGTAAACAGAAACATTCAAACTTATTTATATGGACGGTATACACACGACCAAGGGCATCTGATGACTTTACACTGAGCCAACTTGCAACAGGCCCGCCTTGAATACGGCGTTTCCACTACTTCCTAGATGTGTTCCGCTTGTTCGAATAGCCTTTGCTAACTTTGAGCAGGTGTTTCAGTAACTCTTAAAGTAGATTGACTCTCTGCCTGTTCAAGACGCCTTTGCTGACTTTGAGCAGGTGTTTCAGTAGCTCTTAAAGTAGCTTGACGCTCTGCCTGTTCAAGACGCCTTCGCTGACTTTGAGAAGGTGTTTCAGAAGCTCTTAAAGTAGCTTGACGCTCTGCCTGTTCAAGACGCCTTTCCTGACTTTGAGAAGGTGTTTCGGAAGCTCTTAAAGCAGCCTGACGCTCTGTCTGTTCAAGACGCCTTTGCTGACTTTGAGAAGGTGTCTCAAATTCGCTAAAAGCAGCCTGACGCTCTGCTTGTTCTTGCCTTTTCAGATCTGCATCTTCTAAAAATTCTAGCGATCGAGCTAATCTTTTCGCTTGTCTTTGAGAAGATACTCTTGTAAGGCTGGACTTAGATTTGCGTGGCATTATGTAGTAACAAAAAACCTATTTATAAAATAAACGTTAAAATACCTAAAAGGAAATAAATATTCCCTTTAAATATTTTTTAAAATCAAAACAACAAAACCAATTCAAGACACAACACGAATCCGAAAACGATAGCCAAAAAAATCGAATCAACTTAAACCAAATCACAAAACAAATCGCAGAAAACCGAAATCGAAAGCAGTAGTCAATATAAATATAACCAACGAAAAAAGTGTATAGGTACCGTATACACTATCTATACTATTAATATTCCTTTGAAATATTGTTAAACAACCTAAAACAACGAAAATCGATTCATGATTCTAAATAAACAAAATCCAAAATCAAAGCCAGAGTCTAAATATAAATAAAGGAATACCAACCAAATTAACAAAACCGATCCAAGAAAATACACAAATCCGAAAATGAAAGCTAATATAAATCCATTCAACCTTAACCAAATAACAAAACAAATAACAAACAACCTAAATCGAAAGCAGGTAGTCGAATAAGCTACGAAATAGAAACAATTTAAGCGTATAGGTACTGTATGCACTATAAGTTGACGCGTGGCTCAACGGCGGGAGTTAAGTACATGTCAGGAAACATTTCGTTAACGCGTTTTAAAAACCTAGTAACGACATCTAGCGGAATCAATTTAAACTATGTATACGTTAGTTAATAAGAACTCTCAAAAATATTTTTCTTATAATTTTGCACAATTTTTCTTATTATAATACCGATTCATTCATAACCACATATAAGAACTGTATTCATTTCCGTTCAATAAATATTACTAAGGCTTATTAAGAACTGTTTCTACCACAGTTAAGTAATAGTTAAGGGTGAAAGCGTGACAGGTGGTGATAGTAGTTCTGAACCATACTTATAATCACGCCTGTAACCCTTGCGGGGTAGGCAGAGCATCAACGGAATACTTAATATCGTCTGCGAGGTTATCGCCTATTTTGTGAATTACAATACATCAAAACGTTTGCAGAAAATTAGCTCCAATCCAGATATTCTGACCTTCTGTGTTCGTCCATCGTACCGTCGTCCGTCTTGTAGAATCACGGTGGCGCCACCTAACTGAATATGATTTTGCAACATATTCGATTTTCCCACGGGAATGAGATATTTTTCCGCGGAAAGGAGTAGCCTATGTCACTCTACAACTACCGAACTATCCCCATACCAAAATTCATGCCATGTCGACGCTCTGTTGCGACGTGAAAGAAGGACAAACTTTTGCAACTTATTCTATTTTCCTACGGGAATGAGATGTTTTTTCCGCGGAAAATGTAACCTATGTCACTCTACAGCCACCGAAATATCCCCATACAAAAAATCATGCCATGCCGACGCTCTGTTGCGACGTGAATGAAGGACAAACAAACAAACACACTTTCGCATTTATAATATTAGTATGGATGGATTGTTGCAACATCAAAAATTGTCAGATCGGTGTAGACCGGTGGCCATTGTCAATTTTATCTAAATTACTAACAAAACTGTGTACACAAAACTTTGATTAAGAGAGAAGATTTATGGTAACATATGTTTTGTGTCTATCGGCATAGCAATATTTCATCAGTTTCTTTTTGTATTTAGTCGGATATAAGTAATTGAAAATTAAATGAACTGTTAGATTTTATCCATAATTGATGGTAAAGTACCGTTCATGATACTGTTGACGCAGCCTTTTTTATTTTAATGAAATTTTTTAAAGAGTTTGTCAAATATTAAGATAACGTTCATATTTTCAGACATAATTATTAAAATTTTAGTGACAGTCCCGTTTTCATAACTCACATGAGTAAATGAACAGACTCTTGTGAAAGATTATTTTATATAAATATCAAAGAAAGCAAATTTTAAACATTGTTTATTTTTGTTTTAACCATGAGTTGAACTGCATTGATAGAATCTTGAAAGTCACCTGTATAAGCCAGTGATCAAACCGATCTAAAGGTAAATTCCGTAGACATAATTATTAAAATTTTAGTGACAGTCCCGTTTTCATAACTCACATGAGTAAATGAACAGACTCTTGTGAAAGATTATTTTATATAAATATCAAAGAAAGCAAATTTTAAACATTGTTTATTTTTGTTTTAACCATGAGTTGAACTGCATTGATAGAATCTTGAAAGTCATCTGTATAAGCCAGTGATCAAACCGATCTAAAGGTAAATTCCGTAGTAGGTACGTAAGCAACCCAAATTAGATCCGTGCCAACTCCACTCATGTTTTAACTGCATTATGAAGTTTCGATTTACCACGTTCTCGGTGGTGAAGAAAAACATCGCAAGGTAACCCTGCATATCTGAGAAGTTAAAAAATATTTCGGAAATCTTTTTTAGGTATAGGTATAGTCGGAAATATTTTGTAGGTATAGTAGGGGTCAACTTAATCAACTCCTTTTTGACCCAAACCTCGCAGTGGCCTGTGCCCAGTAGTGGGATGTATTAAGGCTGCTACTTTTTTACTTTTAATAGGGCTATTCACTGCTGATCATATGCTTCCCCCATAGTTTGTCAAATAGACCGGGTATTTGCAAAAGTATTCACGCTTGGCTAGCGGGTTGGTAGCTCTTTATTACTTTGCGCTGTTATCAAGAAGATGCTACCTATCTCCTGGTTCAGTTTCCCTTTGTCGTTTCTTAGGACACCCACGGGACGAAATGCGGTAGTGGTTTCTTTACGCCGCCTCTACATGGCCAATAAATTATTTCTACTCCCATTCATCAATTGGATTCCCTCCAGAGACAGCCAAACAAGTTGGATATTTGCCATAGTTGCCACGCTTGGCATGCGAGCTGCCAAATGCTGAGCTGCCAGACGCTGCTGACCATCTTATGTAGATATCTACTCCTGTTCATGAATTTAGTTCCTCTCACACGTTCACCGTGAATAGAACTAAATTTATGAAATTTTGAAGTCTATTCGAACGTTAAAGAATACTGGCATGTGGTGCTAATTAATATTCAACGGGTTCAATATCAATAAAGACCATAAAGTTAAACCTTATTTTATCAGTACTATATCAATTTTAATAATGCATATCATATAAATAACGCAATTCTGATTACAGGACAATTTTCCCTTCATAAATACACATCGGAAGGCGTGCCCGATATAAACTAGGTGTTGCTTGACGTATAATATTTATTCGATTCCGATAAACTAACTTATGTGTTTCTGTAGCCTATAATATTGCCAACATAGACACAGATACCGGCCTGTCTCTAAAAGTGATCCAGTATTGCCAATTTTAGTACGAAATAATATTATCGATGTTTCTAAACTCAAACCCACACGAGCGAAGCCGCGGGTAAAAAGCTAGTATTAAACTATAAACAGAAAAGCCACAAATTTTAACAATTATTTTACGAAGTGTATTAAAATCTATATAATATTAATACACGAAGTGAAAACGGTCTACCCTTTTTAAGCATATTGCACGCACGGGGGAGTAAAAGATTTGATATGGTTAGATGTTTATATGGAGGAGCGCATAAAACTAAAACTTAAATGTAATATGTTGTGTTAAAAATAAATTTTTCATTGTTTACGTTTATACTGATCAAATACTGTCAATAACATATGGTCAAACTATAGTCAAACAGTCTCACAGAATATTACTGACAAATTGACTGTATGAGAGTATATTACGTACGTCAAAGTAAAAAAATGTTAATTTTTAATATTTTATGTAATAGATATCTGTGTTTTATATATTAATTTGTAGTTGAAAGCCAAGACAATACAAATGTATACTGAGAGATGCAAGTGAAATACAGCTTGCTATTAATTTAAAAATGTAATAAATGACGTTCGACTTTGAAACACTGAGCGACCACTAGTTCGACATTAATTTATGTTACCAATGATCGACAAATGTTGCAGATTGAAATCCAATTCCGCAGTTAGTCCCTTTTTCATCCATCTTGATACCAAAATTCACTACTATGTGAGCAAAAAATCCTTATCCCGTAAAGAAAATAATTTTAAATAATTATAGCTACTTGAAATATTGTAACAAAATATTACAGTGTCATTTATAATTTATTTTCATGAGTAAAAGCGTTTAGTAATTATTATAGTCGATAAAACCTTCTTCAGAGTTAAAGGCAAATTTAGTAACGTGAGCAAATTCAATTTTAATATTACACACTTTATAATTTCAGGCGTTCCAAAGTTAAAACACGTTCCTCTGTGATGAGCTGTGCTACGTGTAAAACGAGTTAAATCGACTCTGTTCTAAATACATGACGTATTCAGAACAGAGTCAATTTTAAGAGTGTTCAAAATATTATGTACAATTTAATATCATTTATTTCGTTCGTGGTAAGGCTACTCTTCAGTGTATTATCACTGAAGCACGGATAAGTCGGCTCGACCGGGTAAGGACCACGTTCGCACAGTATACCGTAGTGATATGGCAGCTAAATGCTGCTTTTTCATGTAGTATGCAAAGATAACGGAAGACCCATCGAACGAGATATTTCCGTGAAAAATTAATTCGCGTAATTTAAACGAATGTGTGTATTACCTAGTTTGAAGAACATCTTCCGCCCTCTTTCAATCCATGTACTAACTCCGTCGGCGATAGCTGACCATTAAGCCCGACCTTAACGGTTTAATTTTTGACTTCTTTAATATAATGGATTTCCGCAAAGTAACGTCTGATTTATAAAACATTTCATCTTGTTCCTCAAGGGTATCGCATTTTGATTCTTAATCTAAAATCTATTTGCCACAGCAACCACTTACTTTTAGTTTGAATGTGAGATTATTTGTCACGCTTACTTTTAAAAAAATATTACAATATTACATAAAAAGAAATAGGTAAACTTATTTCTCTAATAAATTTACTAAAAAATAATTATAACAGTATGCCTCAAAAAGAAAGCCGATCGATTAGGTTCTCTTTCCGTGAAATAGTTACCTAACAGGGGGAACACACCGCCGACCATCCCGCGTTGTGAGTGCTCCACGCCGAATATACTCGTACGGTTTACACAGTGCTCAGTTTGCAAAGCACTCCTCTCCCTGGACGTCAACAAGTTGAGTAGGCCTGATGGAGTTCCCGCTCTTTTACTGAACACGTGAGCTTCGGAGTTGAAACCGGTTTTAACGTATCTTGTCTGGTACTCTTACTTCCGGTGTAGTCCCAAACTCATGGGATATAATTATTTAGTTAAGTTTAGTGTATATCAATCCCTAAACGAGGCTCAGACCGCCCTTAGTGTTATCGTGCCTATCGTCATCATCTCCGTGTTCTTCGAATTAATGAAGTCCAGTATAAACCAAGTTCATGAGTTACTCAATGATCTACTGAGCTGAGCTGATTAGAGGCCGCTAGCATGGTTTCCGTTGAGGTCACTCAACTATTGATCTTCTAGTTCACTTGACTCATAGATATGTGGAATCAGGGGAGTTCTAGGAGACGGCTTTGCAAAGTTTGGACATATCAAAGGCCTTCGATCGTGTTTGATACTAAGCGCATCTTTATAGGCTTCCTTTCTATTCCATGCATTCCGAGAAATTATAGAATTTCACCAGTTTTCTTGGAGATCGAAGCATCAAGTTCGTAGTAAACTAAGCATGCTGCGACTATTAATGTTGACTTTCCCTCAGGAACCTTCAAGAAAAGAGTTTACTACTTTATTTAAAACCGGCAACATAACTGCAATTCCCTGATGATGCAGTTGTTTATAGGAGGTGGTAGGCACTTACCATCAAGTGATCCGCATGCTCGTTTACCATGTACTATAAAAATTACGGTGACATGCAAGTTTTAAAATTGCAATAAGTAATTTCAGTAGTCTTAGTGATGAGTTTTTATTTGAATTACGTACAATAATAGTTTGAGCCCAGCGATTATACCCTGAGTTACTACCGCTTCATCAGCATCATCATTACGTAGATTCACAAGTTCACTACTGGATAAGAAATACCATAAAATAATACCTCGTTACTACGGCTCAATAAAATGTTTCGCGGACTTGAGAGGACTGTACGCATTAGGGCAGCAGGGCGGGCACTTCTTTTCCATATAACTATTTTCAGGATGAAGAGAGGTCCTTTACTCAGAACTAGGATGTCAACAGCCTTTTAGTTGACTTATTTTATTAGAAAAAATAAAATTATATTAAAAGAGCTATAAAATTAATAATGGTTTAATTAATAGAATCAGGCGTTACTTTGCGGAAATCCATCAAAGACACCGCAGAGTCTTCGGCCTCTGAGAATGCCTCGTGTAAAGGCGAAACACGTGTCGTATTATCGTCGATGGTGTATCTTTCCTAGTGTAGTGGTGCTGGGATTAGTGGTGGCAGGATTAACGCACGCGATAGAAGGAGGGTTATTGAGCGGATGTGGGCGAAGTAATTCCTGCCAACTTTAATAATATCGGTTTATTTTATCAATTATAATAAAACGTATGAACGAACCAGTCACAAAGGGAATGTCCGATAATCCGATCATACTTCCTTTAGTTACGCTTCAATATACTCTAGCTTTATTAGTTTTTATCCTGCAAAATAAATTAAGATGTTTTATAGGAAAATAAGTTGCTGAATAAAATTTCAAAATGTTCTTAACAATTTAATTAATATCTATAATATTTAATGCTATGTTTCCATCATTAGATATTTTTGGCTAATAATTGGAAACCTTACTAACTATAAAGTACCTATATTTATTTCTTGTAACCGTGGTAGCTCAAGGGTTCGCCACACACACGCATCACAAGTACGCGAGAAACTCAGGTTCAATCCCGAGAAAATTGTTAATTGCGATTTTGTGCTAATTTATTACGTGCTCGACAGTGATGAAAATATTGTTAGGAAACCTATTAACATTTGAAAAATTCAGAAAATACTTCACCTTTCCTCTCAGCAATTAGAAGACAACTGTTCTCAACAATAGAAAGAATATAGGCTGTAACTTTATGTTTTACTTTAAACCACAGTGTGTGTTGTCCAAGAGGGCATACGCATTCATTTATCGAGGGAAGATAGATGTTTACTTTCACCTCCCTTGGTACAGGAAAACATCGTGAAAATCTGGGTGATTTTATTTACTTATTTTAAGCCAGTGCTTAACTACAATTCTACCTGGTGGTAAGTAGTGATATAGCTCTAGATAAGACGCAGTCAAGAGTGCGAAACGAAGGGGTGAAAACCCGCCGACTGTCTGGTTTTCTAATGGTGTTAAGTCTGGGCTGAAGTAGAGCGGAGGATTTATTGCTCCATAACTCTAACAGAAATTAGAGAAATCACAGAATCCCAGCCGTGGGATATATATATATATATATATATATATATATATATATATATATATATATATATATATATATATATATATATGTGTGTATCAATACCCAGACAATTATATTTATTTATTGGCCATATAAACACATGTCTCGTGCTGGATTTATATCCGCGGCACCCTCAGCCTCTCCTTGTAATGGGAATCAGAATTACCAAGGCGAAGGTAACGGCTTTGCGCTCACCAACCAACTAGAACTACTTAACAACAATGGTTGGTTGTTATCTGAAAGATTTTGTTGCCTGTTTTAGTTTCCCTCTACCATCCCTACGACACCCATGGAGGTGAGTGGTGGATTATTAGCTTACACTGCCATTACTCGGTAAATGGATGGATGTCGTAAATAATTAAAAAGTATAAAATTAAAGAATATTTTCAACAAATTTAAGAAATAATTATGTCGTAATTTAGAAAATGAGAGAATCATCATAGCTCGGGGGCTTAGCGCTCGCTGTAAATTTCATAGTACACGAGCAACCCGGGTTCGATACCCGCCGGCACCAATGCAATTGACAATTGCAATTTTAAGTGCTGATTTACCACGTGCTTGGAGGTGAAAGAAAACATCGTGAGGAAACTTGCACGTCCAAGAAAAAAATGTATGTCGGAGACATGATGTGAAGTCCGCCGTCACGCATTGGGGCAGCGCGTCGGACACTTTTTTGCCCTAAAACCCTCTCAGAAGGGAGATAAGGCCTGTGCCCAGCTGTGGGACGTATATGGGCCGTAACTTTAATTCTTACTTTTACCATGATGAGGGTGGTGTTAAAAAAAACTTACACTAAACTATTATATACTAAACTATTCACTAAATTATTATTTCATTACTTACACAAAAATTGCTGCATGCACTGTGCTACATACATCTTTTGATAATAATCCCTGTGGTAATACACTGGAGAGAAAATATGCGAATATCTACATTTATGAAGCTATATTATTCATCGGGGAGTCGTACCGTAGTATTAAATGGAGTTACCCATACATTCGTGAAAAGAATAAAGGTTTTTATGAAAAAAAAAAAAAACTCTTCACAGGGATATATACTCGTATCAACACGTTTAATCATAAGGTAGAATGGAGGTCAAACATTATCTTATAATATGGCATGTAAAATAAGTAAGAATCTTCTCTTAAGTATTGTATTTACTAGTGAGTGTCAGAAATGTTGTTAAAATAAGGCTTAATAAGGCTAATATAATTTCGATTTTTTAATAAAATAATTGGATAAACAGGCTGTTGACATCCTAATTCTGGGTAAAGGACTTCTCTTCATCCTGAACATGGTTATATGGAAAAGAAGTGCTCGCCCTACTGCCCTAATGCATGCGGTCTTCTATAGTCCGCGGAATGTTTTATTTCGGCGTAGTATCCAGGCATCATTTTATGGCATTCCTTGTCCAGTAGTGAACTTGTGAAGGGCTGTAATGATGACGTTGATGTACGCAATTCATCCGAAAACTTTCACATCATTCATGCACTCATAAAGAAGATATCGCCATTGCACAAAACGCCGGAGGTAGTACAGCCTGTCTGAGATACTGCTTATCTCTTTATTCGTAGTTTTGTTTGCTGTTAGCGGATATATCCTATACAAGAAGTGCCGTCAGC